GGGGGCGGATGCGCTGAATCGCCCAGCAAGGGCCCGGGGCCCAAAGGCTCTGCTGGCTTCAGTGGGTACACGCGTGAGACGCAAAGGACCTTTGAGAGCGGCTTCTGCACTGAACCTGAAATTGCAGACTCCTGGGGAAATCCCAGCCCGATTCTGTCCTTCCTGTTCAATCGCTACCAGGCAGCGAGTGCAAAACCTCTAGGAAACCAGCTCATCACCGACACACGGGCTAGGGGAAAGAAGCCGTTCACTGAAGTCACAGCTGGGGAGGTTTCACATCACCTTCTGCATTTCTCCACTGGAGAGGGCTAAAAACCCAACTGCAAAGCAGCCAGAGCCCTGGCCCTGGAGTGATGGCACACGGGGGGCAGCAAGTTGACCCCACCGCATGGGGCTGGCATGGGCCTGCTCCCAACAGCCAGCTGCGGGATCCTGGGGGGCCCAGCTAACTCGACTGCCTCGATTCCTGCAAAACCTCTGCCCAGGCACAGCTGTGCCCCTTGCTCCTGTGCTGGAGCTCAGTGCGGACAGGAGGGGCACAGACTGGCCAGATGTCCCAGGTCCTGTCCCTCCTGCCAACACACCTCCGTGGGATACCAGCGCAAGCTGTAAAAGCAGGGGAGCAGAGAGCCTGAGGAGATGTTGGCAAAGAGCTGGAGCTGAACGTGAGCCAAGCAGTTGCTTGGCTGTGAGTAGGTCTGACTGGCGGGTCACAGGCAGGGGAGCGACTGCCAAACCAGGGGTGAGCTGGAATTTTGCTCCCTGAGGTGCGCTGGCAGTGGCTGCGGGGTTGTGAGAGCAGGCAGACTGCCACCACTTCCTATAGGTGCTGAGCACCGTCGGTACGAGACCATAAAGGTGCAGTCTCTGGGAAGCTGCAGCTGTTTTGCTCTGGGGCGAAAGCAAGCGAAGAGGGAGAAAGAACAAAAATCTGTAATTTTTACTGTTAATAAACTGGATTCCAGACACTCCCCAGCACCTGGTGGAACGCACAGCTCTCAGGCAGGATGCGCGGGGAGGCATGGGGCTGCTTGAGGGGGAGGCAAGAGGAGGTCCCTCGGGCCGGGGACCCAGCGGCTGGCCCTGCCCCACAAGAAGCGTCCCATGGCAGCTGTGCGCCTGGGACCCCAGTTCCGCCGTTCGACCACGATGCAGCTCAGCTACTGCGGCCTGGGACAAGAGAAACTAGCAAATGCGCACAGGGGAAGGCGGCCTCTCCCGATTCCCTATCTGACAAAGGAAGCTTTGTGGGGGCTCTGTGGCTCCCAGCGCTGAGGGGCACGCAGCCCAGGAGAACCCATGCATACAAGGCTGAGAGAGGAAGCAGAAAACTGAATGCCACCCTGCAGCACGTCACCCATCGGTGACACCTCTCTGTGCAGGACCACCGGTGCAAGGGACATGCAGACATGCAGAGAAGCAAGTTTGGAAGAAAAGCAATCCACAAGATAGCATGGCTGAATGCCAGCAGAGCCGCAGGCCGGGGAGGGTGCAGACCCTGGCCCTCTCTGACCATGACACCTAAAGACGACAGTTTCACTGCAACAGGCTGATACTTCAGGGCTGGCCTGGTGGTATTTTGGGGACAGCACCTGACAGTGCTCATTTTTAGAAAAGCCACTTTCCCTGGCAGGTTACAGGCATCACGTTCACACTGAGCCAAACACATTGGCAAGCCAAAGGAATTTTGCCTTGCTGTGCTCTGCAATTGCTCCCTACGCACCTGGAGAGCAGCGATGCCACCGAGGCTGCGCTGGGCTGGCGCGGGCAGCAAGCGCGACGGCACACGAAGCGCCCTGCGCCATCGAGGCAGCTCCCGGGCACAGCGTTACCAGCCCCCGACACTGTGCTTTCCTGCTGGTGGAACCAAGATCTCCCCCAAACCCTGGCACCAGGGCTTTATGCTCAGGGACCTTCATCCAAGCCTTGCCAAGGAAGTTAGCTGGTTTTGCTGTCAAGAAAACAGCATCTGAACCACCTAAATGCAGAGGAAAAGCCCCATCTCTGCTGCAATGCCTGGTGGTTCGAGGATGATGGGAAAGGCTCTGTCTCATCACAAGTCCCCCCTGGCCTGCAGAGTGTCAGCCAGGACTTGGAGGGGATGAAGGAGTTCAGCAAAATTTTGAACAGATCATAAATCTTCTCAAATTTCCAATTTTGTTGAGTTTCTGGATTTTTCTTGACTACGATCTCTTTTCTTTAAGTCCAGTTGTACATGACTGCCACCTCAAATTCTTGTCGCAAAATCAAAGTGTTGGGGAAGCACTTTTTAATTTTTTTGTACGGTTTCAAGCTTGCCAGGGCTGGGACATTGCTCCATCACTCCCTGGTCCTGGGGCAGTGGCACTGAGCCAGCAGAAAACCCGGAGCAGAGAGTGCCCTGCCAGCCCCAGCACTGGCCTGCTGACAGGACAGAAATGTTTGCAGGATGAAGCAGGCTCTTACAGGCTGCAAAAACCAGCTGATAAGTCCCCAATTCCTACCCCAGAGTGTGAATCGGGGTTGTCTGAGCGTCCAACCTGGCTGGCGGGCTACGGAGGGGCACTGCCCCCTCCCTGCGTGTTCTACCATCCCCAAACTGAACTTGCTCCAGCATCTGAAGCACAACCCAACCCGGCAGGATGCTTCAGGAAGACACGGCTTTTGCTGCAAGGGAGCTGCTCCACGGGGGCAAGGCTGTCACGCACAGAGGAAAACCTCATCTGTCTCACGCTGCCCAATGCTTACACAGGCAGAAGAACCCAAGGGAGGGAAGAGTGCCATAACCTGACGAGCTAATTAGGCTGAAACATGTCTGTTGACACAGGCGAAAAGAACGTGTGTGGGCTGCAGGGACCACAGCCACTGACCTTTCCCGGCTTTCCTGGGGACAGAGCCGGAGGCTGCTGTGGTCTCAGGTCTCACCACACAGAAGTGATGGTGGAAGCAGTGCGCTGTGGGCTGGGAAAACTGGGAGCACCAGAAAGCCTCAGAGCTATGGTTGGACCTTGCAGAGTCCCAGGGCAGTGCCGGTGCCAGGGGCAGCAGGGAGAGGCAGTCCCATACTGCTCCGGCGTTTGTAAGCGGCTCCTCTCTGAGATGCTACGGGGGCTGAGCCCACGGTATCTGGGTGTAGGTGGGAGATGAGCAATGTCCTGAGCATTGCCAGTAGGTTCTGCTGGAGCACAAAGCACAGCTACGAGCACAGAGGAGCACCAGGAGGTTATGCCAAAGCCTGGGGTTGCTAGGAAGGGCCACAGGACCTAATCCTGTTCACCAGTCCCTCCCTTTCCCTGTGCCAAGGCAATACAGCTTCCCCAGGAGCACAGGCTAGAGAAGCAGAGGGGAGAGATGGACCCTGCTGCCGGGGGTCCTACAGTACTCGCTGTCCCCACGTCCCCCCCAGGCCAGCACCCGTGCCCCATGCACTATCCTGCCTGCCTGGGCTCTGCAAGGCAGATCTGGGCAGGAGCCGGCCCCAGTCCGAGAGCATTACAGACACTGCTGAGGCGGGGAGCTGACCCTGTCTGCCTACAAAGCTGGGAAGAACCGGGCACACTATGTTGCAGAAGGGGAAGGAGAGGGAAGAAACAAGAATGAATTCCCAGTGGAAGCTTTTCCATTGCCGACTCCAGAACGGCTGCTGCAGCTCAGCACCGCTGAGCACCTCTTCGTTTGCTCCTGCACCTCCGGGGCACCCTGCCACGCGGTGGGGCTGCTGGGGGTCTTCCTCCTGCTGAGCACACCGGAGCGGTCTGGGGTGATGCTGGGAAGCCCTTGGAGAGAAGGGATCGTTGGCCCGGCTTGGCTGCTGGAGCATCTCACGCAGGACGGGCGCTCGCTGCTCCCCTCCTTTCCAGCACGGACAGAGGAGCCCACGTGCAGGTGACAGCGGCCACCCTGCATCCCCAGGGCAAGCCGGGCAGCGTGCCGAGCTGAGTTTGCCTCCAAGGATGCTTTGGAGCTAAGACAGCAGGTGAAGGTGGGGTGTGAAACCACCCCTCTCCCCAGGCCTGCAGCATTTTGCATTCCGATGGCGGTGGCTCCAGCGTGGGGAGAAGCTGCGCGGAAACGGGGATCCTGCTGCCAGCTGCGACTTGCCGAGGGCTGGAGCGAGTGCACGTGCTGGGTAGCTGCTCCCCTTCCTGCCATGAGTCCGTCTGCTGCCAGGTCCCCAAGCACAGTGTCCCGCTGCTGCCTTTGCTCCGTCTGCCTCTGCCTCTTCCCAGTCCTCCAGCTTTGTTCGGTTTGTCTTTGTTCAGCGCTGCCCCTGGAAGCACCTCTTGACAGCAGGCATTTGCTCAGACACATGGGCAAGAGGCGTTTTCCTCCGCCCTGGGCTTTCCTCTTGCATCCGTGTTGCTTCTTTGCTTACCTTGAAAGCACCCCAGTCCCTCAGTTCTCTTCCACCCCCCAAGGCCTGCGCTCTCCCAGCAGCTCGTCCTCCCCATCACAACGCTCGGGCACAGCCGCGGGGCACCTCCTCTCCCACGCGGGACCGCAGCCTCCGGGGTCCTCCAGGAGTAAAAGCAAATCTTGCAGAGACCCTTGATGGACCCCGGTCACCTCCCAGGAGGAGCGGGAGCACCGCTGAGGGATACTGCTGCACCTTGCTTTGCTGTTTAACTTCCTTTTCCCAAATCAGAAGTGGCCAAAGCAAAGAGATGGTGAATTCAGCACATGAGTTTGTTTTTTTATAATGGAAGGTACAAGCCAGGCAAGGAAGAACATCCCCTCGCTGTGGCTACATTCGCTTTTAGTGGCTTTCAGAGCCGAATCTGAGAATTCCTCTCTTTATATCCAGTCTCTCTTAATACAATTTTAATATTCTGGTTGATCCTAAAGATGCAACGTTAACTATAGAAACAGCAGCAGAAAAGCGTGGGGTACAAGACATTTTTTTTATACAAAAAAAAATTATTTTCGTTGCTTACAAAACATATGCAAAAGAAGCTAAAAAAAACAAAAGGCATTGCTATTTGTTCTACATAAAAAATCTCATAACTAATGTTCTTTTTTTTTAAAAAAGAAATATCAAGCTTAGGCACAATTTTGCTGCTGGCTGCTTGTGAACAAGCCAAGAGAACACGCCACCCCCTCCTAACTGAGTGATATGTATTGACTGTTCCGCACTTTATACTTAAGGCAATTTTTTTGTTTTCATTTTGTTTTTGACATTTCCACCCCTTACGTCATGCCAGGATCCGTCCACGTGTGTCAGTATTAGCAGTACTAAAGTTTATGGTTCGAGAAGGTTGCAGGTCACACCGAGGGTTTTCTTCCTACAGATCTCTCTATCCAGAGGAACAAAAAGATCTACAAATAAAAAAAACCAAAAGCCTGAAGTGAGAGAAACCCCAAATGAGAATAAAACTCTGCTCCTTGGTGGGGGGGGCTGCAAGCCCCCCTGCTGCAGTCTCGTTTCCGCAGGAGAAGTCAGCCCCGAGGGCTCGACCTGGCTGCAGCAGAGCCGAGACACAAGCTCGCTATTCTGCCAAGACACCGGCTTTGCCTTTTTTTTTCCCCATGCCAGCCCCAGGCACCCACCGGCACAGGGGACTTTGGGGGACCACGGCCCCTCCACGCGCTCCGGGGCGTGCGGGTGCTACGGGCTGAGGCACTGCAGCCCCGCGCAGGGCAGCCTCGCTGGTGGGGTCACCCTCTGACCCGCCCCTCCCGGAACTCCTCGGT